CCACGTTTTATTGAATAGACAGTAGAAATGTGAAAAATTGAGGTTTTCAACATAAAAAATGACTTTTTTGAACTTGAAAATCTCAATTTCTCCTTTACGATTTTTCACTGAAAATTAATAATTATTTAGGTGAATTTTTGAGATTGACTTGACTTTTGAGCTTGAAAATCCCAAATTTTCACCTAAAAATTATTAATTTTCAGTGAAAAATGCTTAAAAAAGACCTAATAATCGGAAAATCGCTCGCGAAGGAGCCAAATTCTTAATTTTTAGGTTGAAAAATTGAGACTTCCATGTTCAAAAAAGCCATTTTTTAGGTTCAAAACCTTGATGTTTCACATTTATAGACCGATTTTCAGCGATTTTTAAAGCAATTTTAAGCATTTTAGCGTTCAAAAATCGTCCAACTATTCCGATTATTAGCTCTTTTAAGCATTTTTCACTAAAAATTAATGATTATTTAGGTGAATTTTTGAAAATTTCATGCTCAAAAATGCTATCTTTGAGCATTTTAAACGATTTCGATTTTTTTAAAAATTGCATATTTAGTCTAAAAACTCCCGAAAATCGTCAAAAAATCACAAATTTTACGATTTTTAAGCGATTTTAAACGTTTTTCTCTATAAAAAAGCGGACAAATTTCAATTAAAAAACAGGTAAAAATCAGAAAATCGCTTTAAAAAGTGCAATTTTCAAAATTTTTTCATCGAAATTTGTCTTTTTTCTCTGTATTTTTTTCCACGGAAAAGTCATAATTTTTGGAAAAGTGGTCTCAAAAATTGGAAAAGTGGGCTCAAAAAATGCTGAAAATCGTTCTAAAGAATTTCGAGAATTTCAGCATTTTTAGACGACTTTTAGCCGTTTTTAGTCAAAATTTTGAGCTGAAAATTGCACTAAAAAAATGCTGAAAATTCGGGTTTTAAATGCTGAAATTTGGCTGAAAATCGTTCTAGAAAATTTGAAAAAAAAGTTTTTCGATATTTTGAACGATTTTCGAGCGTTAAAATGCTGAAAATTGCACCAAAAATCGCTCAAAATCGTCCAAAAAAGACACAAATTTGTCAATTTTTCAGCGATTTTTAAACGTTTTTCTCTATAAAATTCGAGATTTTCGAGCATTGCCAACCAATTTTTTCGGAATTTTTGCGATTTTTTGGCTGCCTTGCCTCTAATGAAACCTTTTTCTAGCTAGCCTATGTGTGTTTCTCCTGCTTTTCTCACACAGATTTCCCACGAGGATATTCCCGTGTTTCACTTTGTTTTGTCTTGTTTCGAAGACAATTCTCTCCTCCTTTTCCATTTTTCCTGCCCGTTTTTCCTCCCATTCCTCTTCCAAAACAACGAAAAAAAAATTGAATTTTTTTGTGGTTTTCTGAATCATCTTCTGAAGATGTACAAAAGTAAACACTTTTCCCCAAAAAAGAAGATTCTAGAAGCCAGAAAATTGAATTTAGACGGAAGACGACGACGACGACGACGGGGTGCCCGTACCCAAAAATCTAACTTAACAAGAAGAAGAGACTAGAGAAGGAATGCTAATAAGATGATGGCGTCCGGAGAAGAAGAAGAAGAAGAAGACGTCGACGTCTTCTTCTTCTTCTTCACAAACTTCTGTATTGTTAGGAGACTTCGTTTATTTAGAAAAAAAGGAGTTTTTCTAGCTTTTTTGGCTTCTGGACGTTTCCTTTTGAGAAACTACAGTAATCCTAGATTCCTAGGTTCTACAGTAATCCAGCTTTCTGGAAGCTTGCATAGATCCAAACTACCGTGATCTCAGGTTCCTAGGTTCCACAGTAATACCTAGGTACCTAACCTAGCAGCTAGGACGCTTACAGTATCCAGGGTCAGCTACAGTAATCCAGTTTTTAGGATCCATGGAACTACAGTAACCCACAAGATCACGAAATCGGCTTTCTGTGAATTCCTAGACTACAGTAATCCCTTTTTAGGGTTTTAAGGGTTTTAGAACTACAGTAATCCAAGATCCTGAAAGCCGCGTACTGCGGAAACTACAATAATCCTCTTTTTTACGTCCATGGCGGCCGCCCACGGTCGGCCTCTCTCTCTCTCTCTCTCTCTCTCTCTCTCTCTCTCTCTCTCAGTCTCATTCGGCTCCTCACTGATTTATGTGTTCTTATCCTCCTTCTTCGTCATTTTTATTGTCTTCCTTTTCTTCTGTGACAAGAAAATTGTGTGAACTGGGATTGCTCATCTAATCTCAGAATTCTAGATTTTTTTCTGACGATTTCAGAGAAGTTTTAGACATAAAAACAGCATTCTCAGCTCTAACAATACCAGCTCAATTATCTCGACTCCTACAAAAGATATCGAAAATTGGCTAACTGATAAAATGTTTATCATAATATCAGTAAAATTTTATCAGTTGACAACTTTTTGATATTTCTTCTAGGAACCGAGATAATGGAGCGCAAAGGGAATTGATTTTTTTCCTCGGATTTTTGGGATTTCCAAGCTTCTTTTATCCCTCTTTCTCGGAATCCTAATCCCTATTTTTTGTCTGAAAATGATGATTTTTGGATGGCTGAAATCCCTAGTTTTCGGTTCCTTATCACTCGCTATCACAAAGTGTGTGTAGGCGTTTTCTTACACTTTTTTTCGGGCTGAATAGAAGATGTAATTGATAGATTTGGAAGGTGTTTGATATGTGTCACACGGAGAAGAAGATGTTTATTTGCAGTTTTTGGGGGGAAAAGAGCAAAAGGGGTCTTGTGATAGGGATCAGAGCTTGGAAAATTGGCGATTTTTGGAGCTTTTCAGAGCTCAAAACGGTCATTTTTGAGCTTGGAAATCGCTCAAAAATAGGTGCATTTTTGACGATTTTCAAAGCCGATTTCCAGGATTTTCTAGATATAGGATTACTGTAGAAAAAGCTACAATTTGAATCAAATGTAATTTTTGGTAAAAAAATTCTCAAAAAGAGCAGAAAATTGGGTATTTTTAGAGCTCAGAACCTCATTTTAAAGCTGAAATGCGCTAGTTAAGATTTTAAGAATTACATTAGTATTAGGATTTGGGATATTAGGATTTGGAGTATTTCAATTTGGGATATTCGGGATTACTGTGTATTAGATTTCGGGATAACTGTAGTTGAAAGATTTGAGATTACTGTAGTCTTCGATTCAGGATTCGAAGAGTCAGGTTACTGTAGTTTTCAGTCGAATAGGTTACAGTTAGGGTTACTGTAGCTTCTTCTCTGAATATTTGTACAGTAACCTGACTCTTACTTTCAGCCTATAATCCTTCTTTTTTTCTGGAAAATTCCAGAAATTTTTCCTTTTTTTTCAGCCAAATATCTAGACTAAATCTCTATGAGTCATGACCCTGTTGCTTAAAATTTGAAAAAAAATGTTTTGTCTGAAAATCTGAAAATCCCCTTTCCTTCAAAAACTAGATACATTTTGCTTTTTTTCCCTTTGGAAGCCTTTCTGCTGGAAGTGATATTTTTCATTTTCGTCATCATTTTCCGAGGGTTTCTGGCTTGGAAAGTCCGATTTTGGGCTCAAAAAATCGATATTTTCTGATTTAAAGTGCCTAAAATGAGTCTTATTTGTCTGGTTTTTTAGACTGAAATTTTCTGACTTTTTCAGTTTTTTTTCTTCTAATTTCTAAAAGTATAATTTTTCAAAGATACCATAAACATTCTGATAGAAAAAATGAGACAAATTGAGATACTGTACCTTGGCTGATGAGCAAAATTACAAGGCGATAAAGCTGTCGAGCTGGATGGCTTGTAACTTTGCTCATAGGCTAGATACTGTATCCCGAATAGTATCATTTTGTAGTATTAGTCACGTTCTACAGTACCTGACTTAGTTGGTTTGAAAACATTGAACCTGAAGAAAGTTATGGCAGAGAACGTTTTTCAAGTACTGTATTTCCGAATCGTCAACATTGAGCTTGACTAATTGGGATACTGTAGCGTGGATATGAGCAAAGTTATAAGCCGATAACGCTGCCGTACCCGTAACTTTGTCCATAGACAAGGTACAGTATCCCGAATAGTATCATTTTGTAGTACTAATCAATTTCTACAGTACCTGACTTAGTTGGTTTGAAAATATTGATTTTAAAAGGAACTATGCCACGTCTTCTTGTTGTCATAAAGTATGACTCATACTTGAAAACCGGGCTTTACCGTAGTTCCCTTTAGATTCAATATTTTGTAACCAACTAGGATTCTGTATAGCTCAGCGAGTACTACAAAGTGACAGTACTTAAAATACTGTAGCTTGTCAATGAGCAAAGTTACAAGCCACAAACCTGCCAGACCCATCTCGCCTATAACCTTGCTCATAGGCTAGATACAGTATCCCGAATAGTATCATTTTGTAGTACTAGTCACGTTCTACAGTACCTGACTTAGTTGGTTTGAAAATACAGTATTTCCGAATTGTCAATTTTGAGCTTAATTATCTCGGTTTCTGTGAAAGCTATCAAAAATCTGTTAACTGACGAAATGTTTATCATGACATCAGCAAGATTTTATAAGTTGACCACTATTTGATATCTCTCACAGAAAATGAGATACATGGGCTCAAATTTGAGATTATTTCCGGTATCTTATCCTTCTGATTGAGTTAAAAAAGTATAAAATTGAAATACACCTCAATTTCCATGTATTTTTCCCAATTTTCAAATTCTCAAGCTTTCAATTTCCTCTCTATTTTCAGCAAAGCTTGGCGTGAATTGGGCTCACTGTCTCGCGACGAAGCGATGGCATCGTTCGTGTTCCTCGTCGATCGTGTGTGTCCGCCGTTCAAAGGATTCATCTCGGATAAGAAGGCCATGTGAGTTTATAGAGCTTTCATTGGGGATTCGGGAAGTTTGGAGCTCAAAAATACCCGAAAATCGATTTTAAATTACTCTGGAAGCCACTAAGAATGCCCTAAAAGCTGTCACAATTTGCCTTATTTCGCATTTAGAGTTCATTTTTGCTGCTAGATTCATCTAGAAAGACTACTGTAATCCTGGCTTCTAGAAGGTTTGGAACCTACAGTATCCTGGAAACGCTACAGTAACCCAATTGTAAGTAGTCAGTAGCCTATGACCTACATCGATCCTAGAACTCCCTCTAGAGCCTAGATGCAAAGTCAGCCAACAGAATATTGTTTATAGATTTCGAAAATGTTAAATTCCGAATTCCCACAATTTCTTCTGAATCTTTTTTAGCGATTCTGAAAATCAGGCCTAGAATTCCATATATTCTGAATTCCCACGGCGTCAGAATTCAGAAGTCTTCAGCAACTTCATCTGGAAATCTAGGAAGTCAGAATGCTTTGATTCTAAAGTTTGAAGAACTTCTAGTTTACTAGATTCTGAAGTCACTGACGTCTTCTGAAGATCAGAATCTGAAACTACTTCATTTTTGCTGCTAGATTCATCTAGAGAAACTACCGTAATCCTAGCTTAGGATACCTAGGGTTTGACTACAGTAATCCCCAGATTTAACCTAGCAGGTTTGACACCTGCAATATCCTGGATAAGCTACAGTAATCCATTTGGAGTACAGTAATCTTGCCAGTAGCCTAGCAGCCATAGAGTAGAGTGTCTACAGTAACCCTACAGTAACCCAAATGATCTACAGTGTGATACTGTCGGAATAAAGTAGTCCTGATGGATCTTCATCAATCCTAGAACTACAGTAATCCCTTGGCTTCGACTTTTCTCTAGAATCTTTCGTTCCCACGCCTCAGTGCCACCTGAAAACTAATCTCTCTCTAGATCGTTGGCTTCTGACCTTCTAGGTCTTCTAGATTAGAGATTCTTGAATTCCACGTCACCTCTAAAATTCAGCACCCCCATGAAAACTTTTTCTGCATTTGCTGTCCAAAAACGGGAAGCTCGATTCTAATTTAAAATGTATCTCCTCCTCTTTTCCCCACAAGCCGCCATTGATGCCACTGAGCAGCACATATAGAAATGTGCTCGGCATCACAGGGTTTTTCTATATAGCTTCACATTGAAAACACTAGAGGGGACACTTGGACAAACAAGCTACATAGTCTCCCTCCTCTCTTTCTTTTCTCTCTCTCTTTCTCTCTCTCTCTCTCTCTCTCTCTCTCTCTCTCTCTCTCTTTTCCATTTCTCAGTGGCTATCTCTTTTCTAGCTAGCTAGGCTAGTTGGTTGGAAGAAGAAGGAGTGGTGGGGTGGCTCCTAAAATTTCTTAGTGCCCCCCCCCCTTCCCCCACCACACCACGTCTTCTTTTTCTTCCTCTTCTTCTCAGTCAGTTTCTCCTCCTCTTTTCGCTTAAAAATGAGCCCCAAAACTGCCTGCTTTCTCCAGGAGCTTTACCATCGAATAAGCCATAAAATGAGCTATATATATATAGCCATTTAAAGCACCATTCAATGAGCCATATATTCCAGAAAAGAGGCGGAACTCAAAGAATTTGCGCCACAAGTCACCGAACAAAGCGCACAGCCACCGTCCCTTCAACAAGTCGATCAGCGACTTTTCGAGGATCAGAGGTAAGCGAAAAATCGATATTTTCAGATCATCTAGATACGATACGGTAGAACTTGACTAGTACTACAAAATGATACTATTCGGGATACTGTAGCGTGGCTATGAGCAAAGTTATAAGCCGATAACGCTGCCGTGCCCGTAACTTTGTCCATAGACAAGTTACAGTATCCCGAATAGTATCATTTTGTAGTACTAATCAAATTCTACAGGACCTGACTTAGTTGGTTTGAAAATATTGATTTTAAAAGGAACTACGTCACGTCTTCTTGTTGTCATAAAGTATGACTCATACTTGAGAAACGGGCCCTAACGTAGTTTCTTTTAAATTCAATATTTTTAACCAACTAGGAAAGATTCTATATAGCTTAGCGGGTACAACAAAATGACAGTACTTAAAGTACTGTAGCTTGTCAATGAGCAAAGTTACAAGCCACAAACCTGCCAGAACCATCTCGCCTATAACTTGATACAGTACCCCGAATAGTGTCATTTTGTAGTACTAGTCAAGTTCTACAGTATCCAATTTGGTTGATCCTGAAATATTGATTCTAGAAGGAACTACAGTAGCGATAGTTATCAAGTACCGTATTTCCTCTAATAGAAGCCCACCCAAACTTTGAGCTCAATTATCTCGATTCCTGTGAAAGCTATCAAAAATCTGTTAACTGACAAAATGATTAACGTCAGTATCAGCTACATTTTATGAGCTGCCAGAATCTTGATATCTCTTATGGGAGCTGAGATAATTGAGCTCAAAGAGCACATATAAGGTGGGCTTATGCTAGAAGGTTACAGAGCATATAGCTCTCCGAGCTGTTTCGTTTGTAGCTTTGCTCATAGATAAATTACAGTAGCCCAAACAGTATCGTTTTGTAGTACTAGTCACGTTCTACAGTAACTGACTTAGTTGGTACAAACATACCGTACCTAAAGAAAACGATTGCCTCTTCCAGAAAACAAATCCAAGACGCGCTGAACGCCCAAACGTTCCACCAATTCTCGGCGTACGCTCAAGAGCAATTCCCCGGACAGCCCGAGCAACAGACGACACTGATTCGACAGCTCCAAGAGCAACACTATCAACAGTACATGTCTCAAGTCTACGCCCAGCAATCACCCAATCCAAATGGAGAGTTGAGCGCAGAGGAAGCACATCAACAGGCGATTCGACGTGACGACGATTCGGATGTGTCCGATGATGAGGCTGGAGAGGATTTGCCTTGTAAGTTGAATTTTGGACTTTTAGGAAGTTGGGAAATCTTGAAATTCGATTATCGAGAACAAAACCTAAAAATCTGAAATTTTGAAAAATGGGCGGAGTCTAACTTTTCCCAAAAAATCCAACTTTTTGTGTTTCTTTTTTTTCTGAGTTCCACCAACACCATCCCCCTTTCATCACTAATCCCCTTCTCCTTCTCTCACACACACATCACTCACAGTCGCGGTCGGCCAACCGCGGAACACACTCTATCTCTCCCTCTTATCACTAACCGGAAGCTGTCAGGCCGCGGCCCGACCACGATCTCTGTGTGCTCTTTTCTTCATCAAAAGAACCTTTGTAGTGTCTTCAATTCACGCAAATATGGGCCTCTTCTGTCACTGTATGTTTCCTGACTTTTTTTCTGATTAACACAGAATCGGTATCACTATTTTTTGCATGATTTTTCTTGTGATTTGTTAAATATTGCATGACTTTGAGGTTCCAAAACTACAGTTTTTTTGAATTCGGCGGATTTTTGAATCTCGATTTTCACTGTTTTTGATGGCGAAAAAACGGGTAAATAAATGCGGAAAATCCAGAAAATTGATTTTACGGGTTACTGTATTTGTCGCTTTGGGACCAAAAATAGCCAAAAAAATCGATAAAACGCATGATTTTTGCTTCATGTTATGCCTTGCTCCCCTTTTCGCTACCACATCGCCAAAAAGAAACGCATAAATGTGGATTACTGTAGATTTTCAACCCCGGAAAAACCCATTTTTCCTTCAGCAAATCCTGCGATCTCACCAGCATCACTGTGGAATCGACAGGATATCAACGAGTTCAAGGCGAATATCAAAAAGGACGGAACCGAGGGAATCATCAAAGTTGGGCATGGAGAAACGGTGACGGTAAGCGGAAAAAATAGGCTGAAATCGTTGGAAATGGCCTAGAATAGCAGTGAAAATGACTAAATTTGACTGGAATTTCAATGAAAATTGGTTAAAATATCCTAAAAATTACCAAAAAAATAGCAAAAATTGCTGAAAAAATTGATTAAAATCGGTGGAAATTGCCCTAAAAAAGCCGGAAAAATTATCGATTTTTGCAGGTCCGCGTCCCAACGCACGAGAACGGCACGTGCCTATTCTGGGAATTCGCCACCGATCACTACGATATCGGATTTGGTGTGTACTTCGAGTGGACGGTGGCTGATAGCAATCAAGTATCAGTTCATGTCAGTGAATCCGATGATGAGGAGGATTATGATGAGGCGATTGAGGGGGAAAACGGAGAGGGCGGAGCACCGGGAGGGCCAGGAGACGTTGAGAGTGGAGGAGGCGGAGCGATGCAGACGAGGTAAGGAAAATGGCCTTAAAAAGCTAGAATAGCGGCTTCAGTGAAAATTGACCTGAAAATCTGAAAAAATCGAGATTTTTTGCTCGAAATAGACGAAAAACCCATTTTCTCGCGTTTTTATGATCTTTGTAGTCAAAAAACCATCCGAAAACTCCCATTTTGACCTGAAAACCACCCAGAAATGACATGGGCGGCGCTCGTGGATTTCCGCTAAACAACGCGCGCAAGCGGGATTTCGAAGCATCGTTGTCAGAGAAAAAAAGTGGGAATTTAAATTTTTAAAATCTGACTGCAATTTTCGCGATTTTCTTCGCGAAAAATAACTGGAAACCTGATTTTTCTTCCATTTTTCGTGTGAAAATTGACTCTGAAATCTGAAAATTTCTCGAGTTTTTTTCTGAAAATTGGCCTAAAATCTGGAAAAATCAAGATTTTTTGCTCGAAATAGACGAACAATCCATTTTCTCGTGTTTTTATCCATTTTTTAGTTAAAAATCATCTGAAAACTCTCATTTTGACCTGAAATTGCCTAGAAATAACATGGGCCGCTCCTAAACTCTCTTGTATATTTACGATAAACAACGCGCACTAGCGAAATTTCGGAGCAATGTTGCCAGAGAAAAAAAGAAATGGAATTTGGCGGAAAACAACTTTCTTTTTCAGATTTTGAGCCTGTATTTAAGCTTAAAAGAGTCATTTTTGCAGACGCGTCGATCCGAATAAGCCGCGACAAGACGAAATCATCCCAGTCTACCGCCGGGACTGTCACGAGGAGGTCTACGCTGGAAGTCATCGTTATCCGGGACGCGGTGTCTATCTGCTGAAATTCGACAATTCGTACTCTCTGTGGCGCTCGAAGACCCTCTACTATCGTGTTTATTACAGCAAATAATTTTTTTAAAAATTATTTATTTTTTCGAAAAAAAAGCTATTTATTGTAAATCCTTCTTCTTTTTTATCACATCCCTCTTCTCCTTCTCTCTTTTATACATCTCTTTTTCCTTTTTATTCCCTTCTTAAAAATGTAGATTTCTAAATATTTTCATATCGATTTTCAATTTTTTCCCTACTCGACGAATTTCAGCCTATTCTTCCCCCCTAATCAATTCTAAACAAGTGTAAATCATTCCTTCTTTCCACACACATTTTTTGGAATATTTCCCTTTTTTTTCAAACGATGAAACAGCAAAAAAGTGCGAAAAATAAACGATTTTTGATGAAGAAATGGGTTATTTACATTTTCAAATTTTAGGTGCTTGGCGCCAAGCGGGATGCCGGAGTGTCGTTGCGAAATTTTGGGCGCGAGATTCGGGAATTTGAATCTGAAAACAGTTTTTTTCTGTTTTTACGAATTTTAAAGCGAATTTTCGTGATTTTTCAGCATGTCAGACGAGGAATTCGATAGTTTTGATGACGGCGACGACGATGGAGTGCTAGAAATCGATGAAGGTGTGGAAAATTTTCGAAAAGTTTCGAAAAAAAAATTTTTATTTGGTTTTCTGGCCTAATAAATCTGGGAAATTCAAAATTTCCTTCCTTTTCTTCCTAAAATCGTCGATTTCAGACGAAGTCGAGAATCGAAATCGCCCGCGCGTGGGTCGTGATCTCTCCATGGCGATGACCCAAAAACTATTCGGAAATCTGGCCGGCGGCGCATCGGAATGCCACGTGGCGTATGATGAAAGTGCCTACGTGGCTCCCAGAAACCGATTCGAGGAGATTCTGGCAGAAGAAGACGTTCGAATCGTCAACGATCATGACCCAGAAGTCGCAATGGAGACCGACCTGGGAGCTTATGAGAAATTCGTTGTTTTCGGTACGAAAACGATTTTTAAGAGAATCTGGTGTGGAAAAATGGAAAATTCTGACAATTTCAGTCTCGAAACTTATCTTTTTGGCTGAAAATTTAAAAAAAATTTTGAAAAAAATTCGAAAAAAAATTTAAGAAAAAAAATTAAATTTTTTTTTCAAGTTTTTCAAAAAAATTTCCTATCTGAAAATCACAATTTTTAGCTCAAATTTTCTTGAAAATTCACAAAATTTGCAGGCGGAAACCTGAATCACGAGGATTTGTGTCGAAATTTGGAGAAACGAATGGAAGCCGATCGAAGCGAGATTTTTGGCGAATTCGAGACGGCGTGTAATCGAGATAATGGTTTATTGGCGCTTTATATGTCGCCATCGAAATCGTTAGTTCAAAAAAATTTTTGAAAAAATTTTCTTTTGAAATTTTTTTTTCTGAAATTTTTTTCAAAAAATTCCAGCGATTTTCAGCACTTCCTATACTATTTCCCTCCAAAATTTTCAAATTTTCAGACATCTAGGACTCCAAGACACCCTATTCCGCGCATTCCTTCAAATCCGTCAGACCCAAACCAAATCGTTCGCTCTGATGCTTCGAAAACTCAACATTTTAGCCAAAAAATCGGAAAATTCGTCGGATTTGATGCTATCACAGACTTGTGTCGCCCATATGAGACACTTAAATCGTCTATTTGATTCCCAGGCGATTTTTAACACAATTTTCGAGTTCGAATGGCGATTTTGGAATCCAGTCGTTCGGAATAGCTTCATCGCCGCTTTGCCAGAGGTAATAAGGTGGACATCTGGACAAACAGACGGGAAAAATGCATTTTTCACCTTGTTTCGGCTTATTTTGACCTAAAATTGACTATGAAAGCCTGGAATTTGCTGGAAAAAAATTGACCTAAAAATCTTCAAAGATTCGAGCTTTTGCTTCATAAAATTGACAAAAACTCGATTTTCTAGAATTTTTCATAATTTTCCTTTCAAAAAACTCCTGAAAACCCTTTATTTTGATCTGAAAATCGTCCAAAAATGACATTGGCGGCTCTTTAACTTCCTTGTCGATTTACGCTAAACAACGCGCATAAGCGGGATTTCGGAGCATCGTTGTCGGAGGAAAAAGAGTGCGAATTTGAATTTTCAAAAATGAAATTCGCAATTTACTGCCATTTTTGTGGTTTCCTCCACAAACAATTGTCGGGAACCTCATCTTTTATATATATTTTCTCTGAAAATTGACTAAAATCATGAGTTTTTCTTGAAAAGTTTACTTTGAAAATTGCCCTAAAAATCGGGATTTCATTGCACAAAATTAGCGGAAAATCCATTTTTCTTGCATTTTTATTCATTTTTCCCTCACAAAACCATTCTAAAACTTCCATTTTGACCTGAAAACCGCCCAGAAATGATATGGGCGGCTTTTATGGATTTACGCTAAACAACGCGTACTAGCGGGATTTCGGAGCATCGTTGTCAGAAAAAAGTGTGGGAATTTGAAATTTAAAAATTGATTTTCATAATTTAAGGCTCAAGAAGAGCTTTTACATAGATTTTTTTACTATTTTTCCAGATTTTCACCGAAATCAGCCTTCAACAATTCACGGCGATCCGATTGAATCAGCAAATTCAAGAGACTCAAAATGTTCCCGATTTGGCATCGTTCCAACTTCAAATCGTTGAAACTCTGCGTCTCCTACGCATGGATTCTCTCGTTTCGCGGCAAATTCGAAGGGATTTGTGCAATTTGTGCATGGATTTGGACGTTTTTTGTCTTCCAGCAGTGATTGCGTTCTCGTTGGGAAGCTTGTTGGCACAGCCCACTGGGAAAGTAAGTGGAGGAGAAAGCGCGCTCCATTGAGAATTTTCAAAAAATTTAAAATTTTTCAGTCTGACGACGATGAGACCCTTTTCCATGAGATGCTCCGCCAGCTATCACGTCTTCTGAAAATCGACGCGGTCAAAAAGCGAACGAACAAAGCCGACGTCATCTGCACGGAGATTTTTGCGCACTTCTTGAAGTTTCTTCAACTCGAAAAACGCTCTTGGAAATTTATAATCTCTTGGATCGCGAAGAAAGACAAACGAAAGGCGTTGGCCATGAAAAATGAGGATTCTGAGAAAAATGAGGAAGGCCCAGAAGACGTCAGAGGGTCTTCTGAAGAGCCTCAGGAAACAGCAGAAGAGCCACTTCCAGAAGAACCTTATCTCTCTTCATTTGAAGCATTTCTTATCTTCTCTTTACTCTCAAATCCAGAATCATGCCCTCCTGGATTCGTCACCGCTGTTAATTCGAAAATTCTGAATATTCCGCTAGCGTTTTCGCCGAAATTCTTGAAAATTGTGGATCTGGGAATCTCGTTTAAGGTACGGATCTTTGAAATTGAGGCGAAAATCTCAAAATTTGAATTTTTTCGAAATTTTTTTTGGAAAATTGACCTAAAATTCAAAAAAATCGAAACTTCACTGTCAAAAATTGTCCAAAAAATTGATTTTCTTGCATTTTCTTTCACTTTTCAGTCGAAAAACCATTTTATAACCCTTATTTTGACCCAAAAACCACTCAAAAATGAGACGGGCGACTCTTTTTGAGCGTTTTGCTAAACAACGCGCACCCGTTATTTCGGATCATCGTTGTTGAAAAAAAGTGGGAATTTGAAATTTCAAAATCGAATTTCGCAATTTTACAGCAATTTTGGGAATTTGGCCTAGGAAAAATGGTTGGGAACCTGTTTTCTTGAATTTTCGCGAAATATTCGATTTTCTTGCATTTTCATCCAATTTTCAGTCGAAAAACCATTCGGAAACCTTCATTTTAACCTAAAAACCGCTGAAAAATGACATGGGCGGCTCTTGTGGATTAAACAACGCGCGCAAGCGGGATTTCGGAGCATCGTTTTCAGTGAGAAAAGAGTGGGAATTTGAAATTTCAAAATCGAATTTCGCAATTTGGGACCTAAAACGAATTTGATGTTGATTTTTCTACAATCTGTTTTCCAGAAATTCTCCACGACCCATCTTCCGGCGCTAATCCACGTGGCGCGTCACTGCTTCTGGTCTCCAGATGCCAATATTCGTCAAATGGGCGTCGCCATGTGGAAGCAACTATTTGTTGGAATGGAGAAAAAGGAGCGAGTCCGGGTTTTCGGCGAGCTCATGAAGCACTTTTCGCAGTCAGAAATCGAGTGTGAAGCTGTTTTAGACGTATTTTTCAAGGTCATCAAGTCGACGAATTCTGGAGTGATTCTGGAGTTTTCGGGGCAGATTCAGGTGAAAAAGTCGATAATTTGGGGCACAAAAAGCACGACTTCAAAGGGATTTTAGTAGTATTTACATATGATAAAGGCAAGAAAATCACATTTAAAAAATTACAATTAAAAAATACAAAAACACTTTTTTTTTTGAAAAATAATTATCCACACCCGCCACCACCGCAGCATCCACCGCCCATTGTGGTGGAGCGACTCCTGAAGACGTCGGAAGACCGCCGATGTTCCTTCCACCTCCATTTCCACCGCCATTTCTTCTGTAGGCGTTGCCAGTTCCGTCGGCTCCGTTGACTCCGCCCCCTCGGACGATATTACGGTAGTCCTGATGGTTGCTGTTACGATTTTGAGGAGATGAGAAGCCGAGAAGAGAGCGGAAACTGGAAGAAATTTGAACTTTTTTTTGATGATTTCTTGAATAAAAATTGTATTTTTTAAAGGTGGCGTGCATGAAATATGAGACTGTATTATTTGCTAATCAATGAAACAGGAGGCGTTCAAACTTGCATAGGCAGTTTGATGAATCTGTGTTTTGACAGCAAAACTGTTCAAAGCGGCAGAAGGTGAAGAGGAATTTTCCTAGCATTAGGAAAACTATATTTTACGATAGGGTATAAAAAGCTTATCAAAATATCTATCTCATCCCAAAAGAAAAAATTATGCTTTCCAAATTTTGAACGGTCAGCGGAAAACCAGGTCTGAATAGTAAGTACAGATTGAAATGGAAGAAGTAGCATGTTTCTCGAAAACTACAATTCATTTTCATTATTGTAACATAGTTTGAACACTATTACTAGTTTCTGTTCGGTCTAAACTCATGCTCGAATAAAAGTAAAAGAAGTTGCGTGCCAGCATTACCTTGAAATATGAGTTCATTCGGTCGAAAGCTTTAATGCTTAGCTAGTGTTGTAAAAATTGTGTTGTGAAATAGAGTGTCAGATAAGGATTTGAACAATATTTTGGCTCATCAAGCTGGCCCCTTACCCAGAGCGATATAGAAGCGGAAACTTAATTTTGGCCACTTTCGAGCAGCTTACACT